GTAAAAGAAAATGGAGAATAATAAATTAACACTATTTATTGCACCAAATTTGATGTACAAGTGATTTTTACACCAAATTTTGTATAAATTTGGTGTACCATTGGAGATGGTCTTAGTAATTAGTATTGTTTCCAAACAATGTCTTGGACCAGTTGTTCATTTGAATTGGTTTTGATATAATTATAAAAGTCGTAAGATTTTTTATCCAATATAAATTATTCAGATTGGTATTTGCAAAAATTAATGATTTGTCGATCTTTTTCAGCAAAAATTGGCTTTGTTATAATATTCTTGTAATTTCAGTCAGTCTTTTTCCCAAATGATTCCATCTTGAATCAGCAGGGAGGACAAATAGCTAAATGTAAAAACAAAAGACTAAAAAACATTGTTCATTGTAACTTTAAAACAACGGTATCCTTTTTCATTCCCGTATCATTCCACCCTCGACCATTTGTTTTTGAAGAGCAATAGAGCATTTTTTGCCGTGCTTGAAAGTTACCTTTCTGAAAGGTAAGTCGAAAAGTAACTATGAAAATCATATTTGACAAAAGTAAGTAACTTAAAAGAAGTTTGACTTGCGTTTAAGTTCAACTAAACATGCTTTGCGCCAAGAAGATTCAACCATGCTACATATACATGGTGGTTGACATGAAGTTTTACATTGTTCCACGTGTCGCGGCATAATTGGCCAGTTTGAAAATAAAAAACAATTTCCCGCCGTTCACTTTTGAATTTGCAAAGGCATGTCAANGAGTTTGGCGATGTTGTCACATTCGATACAACCTACCTCACTAACAAGTATGACATGCCGTTTGCCCCTTTCGTTGGAGTGAATCATCACGGGCAATCAACGTTGCTTGGTTGTGGTTTGCTATCGAACGAAAATACGAATACATTTGTATGGCTTTTTAGGACGTGGCTACAGTGTATGCATGGTCAACCTCCCAATGGAATAATTACTGATCAGGATAGGGCTATGCAAAATGCAATCGAGATTGTGTTCCCGAATACGAAACATCGATGGTGTTTGTGGCACATCATGAAGAAGTTGCCTGAGAAGTTTGGATACCACGTCGATAAGGGTTCTATATTTTCTGCTATCCATGTACTGGTATATGATTGTCAAACTATTGAAGAATTTGAACACGGTTGGAAAGTTATGATAGAAACATACAGCCTGCATGATAATGAATGGTTGTCCGGATTGTATGAGCAAAGAGGTCGATGGGTTCCCTGTTATTTGAAAACTACTTTCTGGGCAGGAATGTCAACAACCCAACGCAGTGAGAGTATGAATGCATTCTTCGATGGGTATGTTCATTCAAAAACCTCGCTAAAGCAATTTGTTGAACAGTACGAGCGAGCATTAAGAAATAAGGTTGAGAAGGAGTTTCAGGCCGATTTCAAATCTTACTCCCAAATGTTACCATGCACAACAACTTATGAAATAGAGAAGCAGTTTCAGGCCGTTTACACAATTTCCAAATACCGGGAAGTGCAACAAGAGTTCATCGGGAAGGTGTACTGTGACCTCATGTCTACCTCGGAAGGATTTTCGGGGACTATTTATGAGGTGCGGGAGGATGTGATGTGCCACGAGCGAAGGAGAAAAAAGACATTTTCCGTCACATTTCGAAAAGAGACGAGTGACACTACTTGCAGCTGCCATCTATTTGAATTTCGTGGAATAATCTGCAGACATGCAATTTCAGTTTTGATCCGTAATGACGTAACGTCATTGCCGGAAAAGTATATATTACGAAGGTGGAGGCGGGATGTGCGTAGAGCCCACACGAGGGTTGCAGTCAACTATGATGGGTTGAGTAGTACTCCTGGACAGTTGAATTACGACAAAATTTGTCAATCTTTTAGTACGCTCGCAGACATGGTTGCAGATGATGACGAGCAGACACGAGCATTAATGGAGTGGATTGAACATAAAAAACAAACGATGACATCAATGAGGTCGAGTTGTGGAAGTAATGTCCTGTCCCATCAATCCTCCCAATTTGAATCTGACGTTGGAACATCACATAGTGGTGGTGGTGGGAGCATAAGAGATCCTCAATGTTCGACGAGAAAGGGCGCGCCTAAGAAACTACGAAATAAGAGCCCACTCGAATGTAGTTCGAATAAAGGGAATGTATGTTGCTTTCATTTTCTTTTTCTTTTTTTTCACTTAAGATGCAATAAAATAATGTTGGTGCAATTTCACGTGCAGGCAAAGTCAAATTCAGCTAAAGGAAAGAGACCACGAGCAGGTCGAAGTAACCTCGGGACTGCTGCACCAATTGTTCCGCAAATTGTACAACCACAATATCACATTCCACCACCATTATCATATCCAAATGTCCAATTGGTTAGTACAATTTTTTTACTCATGTCATACTTTATTTACAGTTACTGCACAGTTGGCTACTCATATTGATTCTATTATTATGCAGGTGCACGATGGACGTTATACATTTACACAACTAATGCAGTATCCAAACTTCATCCCACCATCGTCAACAAATGTCGCAATCACTTCGCAAGGTAATGTAATATTTAATCAATGTACTTGACATTCGTGAATTTATTGGTGTTCGGTTATTAACGTTAATATTTGACAGTGATGAACTCGTTGCCGAATTTGTATTCACTTCTACCGGAGCAAAACGGCAGAAACAACTGAAATTGGATGACAAAAATATGGACATCCGGATTCCAAAGTGCCAACGAAAATTGTTTTTTTCCAAACTTTATTTATGCTATGTATTTGAAGGTGTATTTTGTAACGGCATCATGTAACGGCATCATGTATTTGAAGTTGTAGTTTGTCATTTTGTTGGTTGACTCCCTTATGTTGGATTTAAAATTGTAGTCCAAACTCAAATTAATGCTAGTGCTTGACAATGGATATTGAACAATTATTTCAGCTGGAGCTTCTTTTGTGTTCATTGGAATGATTGCTGGTTATTTCAGGTTGTGCTATCAGGTTGTTTCAGCTGGAGCTTCTTAGCACTTGAGATAGTGTTATGGGAATGATTGCTGGTTCTTTATGTAATTTATGAATGATGTTGATTTGGTGCAAAAACAGATGGCTAGGATAATTAGTATGGTATTAGAACTCCCTTTGTTCATAGGCAAGTGTTACAGGATGTTTGAGTGTGGACCACAAATGTTATTCAGCTGCACCAATTAGAACTCCTGGACAGTTGCAAGTTTTTGATCAATCTTTTACTGGAGCAAGACTAAAAGTGTAATAGTATTTATATGCATTCTATTTTTTACCATAGCAGTTAGTGGAAACCTCAATGAAACTATATAATAATTACGAAAGAAATACTATAGACATTGACAATATTTTTACATTCCAACATAGTCCTCAAAAGTTACATAAGAGAAATAGACATTGACAATATTTTTACATTCCTACAGTCTTCAAAAGTTACATAAAAGTGCAATGTCTTCAAAAGTTACATTCCTACATAATACTCAAACCAAGGCCTTCCCTTCATTATCGACTTCCACACTTGCTTTCTTCTTGTGGATTGTCACGTTCACAGAAAATTTAATTTCTTGTTCATCATTTAAACGAAGCCTCGATTCGAACATGCCAGTGACATCCACAACTGATTCATTCGTCGCGGCATTAGTTGACGTCACACTATCTATACTAGAATCACCTTCTCCAACCCATTCCCAAAAACCGCATTTCCCACCGCAGCAGTTGAACAACTTCCCTTTGTTCTTAGTCTCCTTCTCCACCTCAAAACACTTTACGAACGCACGTTTACACCACGGACATAAGCGTTTCTTTGGGCACTCCGCAAAGAAGTGCCCCTTACACCTACAGCTATGACAAATTCCATGATTTTTTCCTGCCATCCTGAGATGTGAACCAAAAACATTAAGATAAAATGTTACAAATTGTCTCAGAATGAATCTTCTCATGATAATCCAAGAACATGTTTTAGGATTTCCACCATAGAAGGCATTAAAAAAAAATCAATTACAATAACAGAAATCACTATGCTTCTCTACAAATCAACCTAAGGGAATCGAGACAATCATAGAAAATGTTTATTGGTAATTCTGCTATCCATTTGTCAACATAACTCTATCATCTAAGAATTGAAAAATGTTAGTCTCACTTTTATTGACAATAACCTTCAGCTAAAGTTACTGGTATCGAATTAATTTGGGTGTATTTCAAGAGTTGGCCATCTTGACGAGTTGGAAGCATTGAAGTGAAAATAATGGCAGCACTCTGGTGGATAAAATATGGAGAACAATATCCTCAACTGCAACGACTAGCAATTCAAATTCTTAGCCAGGAAATAGGAAAAGGAATAGAGAATTTACAGAACTCTTTTTTACATTCTTGAATTTCTGCCACATTGAAAGACGGTTACAAATATCCCCATGACAGAAATTTCTCGCTTCTTCAACAGGTGATTCTGGACAGAAATTTTAGATTGGGAAATTTGAAGTACCATATTATTAGTGTCGGGGTTATTCCAGCCCTCTAAACTCCATTATCAAAACGAAAAACTTACACAAATTTCGAGGCAATTTTCTCCTGAGAAGACGCCGGCGGAGGGGAATATGAACTTGCACCTGGCTGGTTGACGAACAAAAGCGCCGTCGGAGGATGGTGTCGGTGAACGGCGTCTCAATTTTGGGGAAAGAGGTTTGGCATGGTTCAGTCCGTAGGGTAGGGTAATGAATGGGCCGGTTTGGATAATGACCCATTTGTTTTCCTTTTCAAATTCAGTCCGTTTATTTAGAAACCGCCACGTCATCCTGTCAACCACAGTGTCAACGAGACTGTACACGTAGCGGGACTGTATCAGTAAAGCCTGGCATAGACCATTCACTAGCCATCCCAAGGTAGTTCTTCGAACCTGTAAGAAGCTCGACAAATTCACGATTTAACCTATTCAATTATTTTTGGGACAACGGTTTTAACATTTTAAGTGAAACAGAAAGCTCCAGACGCTGAAGAGCTTGTGTTTATGGGGATCTCTCCAAGCAAGCCTTACTTTGAAATCGGAGTTATCTCAGGTATAGAAAAGCGACGTAAAGCTCCTTTATATACAGTAAATATGGCTAATTTTGCCTTTGCCGTGAAATTTGGAGGGCTAGCCAAACTTTATTTCAATGAAAGGAGACCCGATCTTCTCCCGGTAACTTCCCTTCAAGATTTTCCTAGTCCATGTTGGACTTTGCTGTGCCTAAATATATTGTTCAAGTATCCCGTCAATGGCAGATTGACCTTGTTTCCATTGCTATACAAAGGAAATTGAGTGGAGCATTATCTGTATCTAACCACCTTATCTAAAAATTTAAGATTTAGATAGGGCACATGTATATCATTTAAAATATATCTTCAACATAATACCTTGCGTTTTGGCAAAACTCATTTTCTATCATTAAAGCCTAACACGTGAACAATTTTATTTAAATGAGTGGCAGCGAGATTTCAACTAAGCACATTTATCTGCTCTAATAACATATTGAACCATTTAATCTAAAAGCTTAAACTGTTAGGTAGAATCACATACATATCATTTAAATATTATCTTCAATAATCTGTATGTTTCTGTGTTTGTATCATTCATTATTGCTCTCAGAATTGGGATGATTAGTGTTTAAAATCTAACAGTGCACCCGTTCATCAGGTCTCCTAAGAAATCAGTATTTGTGAACCAGGATACGAGACAACCCGATGAAGAGTTGAATAAGGTCGAGTATCATAACTGTCCGCCCAATACATGTTGCACTGGAGCTGCATTTGTCGGGAGACCTGGGAGTCCTGAAGAAGATGGTGGATGGATCATTACATATATACATAATGAAGAATATAACGTATCTCAAGTAAGTTGTCTTACCATAGCTTTAATGTTTGAAGTGTCCTCTTTGATTAATTGAAAATATAAATTTACATGTACACTTCTTGGCTATAGGTTTATATAGTTGATGCACAAAACATCACGATAGTTAACCACATCACGATAAAGTGTAGTTCAATGATTTCGTTGCTCATTGTCAATTATGTCTAAGATTTTTGAACGTTTTGTGATTGACATTATTTGCCAAGTGTCGACTTCTTCTTAGCTGCCAAGCCGAGCCAAGTCGTCAAGGACCCAGTTTGACGCCACCAGCTCTACCACTTCCTACAACATATATAGAAAAAGAATATATTCCTTGCAAATTAACACAATCATGTGTTCTGGGAACTCTGGCTGGACTTGGCCTCATTTCCATAGCTTCAACATTGTATACAAGCATTGAATAATCAAAACAAAAACTGAACCAATCCCTCTAGAAACAAGACTTCAAAGGGCTAATATTTTGCAAGTTTGAATTTCTCAATTGAAAGTAACTATTTGGCTCCATGTCTCTGGCAGGTTTGGAATCAGCGCCCACTTGAAGATGCTCCTTCGTATAAAATATGTCATTCAATTGGGACGGACAGAAAGATCCAAAGGCAAAAACAGAGAATCAAGTATAAAGAACCATAACTTATTTAATAGTTTAAGATGCTGAAATACATCCTTAAGAACAGTGTTTTCAATTGACTTCCATGGAGAAGAATGCTACACAGCAAAGTTTACGAAATTTCGGAGAAAAATAAGTAAGCCCTGTCCAATTTCTCAATGGAAAAATTTGAGGTTATTGTTATTCTCTTCTTGTTTATATGTGCTGAAGCTCAAGATTCATCCAATCAGCATGATGTGAATCCACTTCATCCAAGCATGGCAGTAGTTCTTGTTCTGCTAATTATGTTCTGCTTAACGTTTCTCATAGTGGCTTATGCGAAGTTCTGTTACAGACCAGTGTCTTATTATCAGTCAAACGATGAACAAGAGCCTCGTGTTCTTCTTGCATCAAGATCTCGATTTTCTGGTATTGATCGATCAGTAATTGAGTCTCTTCCATTTTTCAGGTTTTCGTCCCTCAAGGGCTCGAAAGAAGGCCTTGAATGTGCAGTATGCTTATCAAGATTTGAGGAGACAGAAGTTCTTCGATTGTTGCCAAAGTGCAAGCATGCATTCCACATGAACTGCATCGATATGTGGTTTGAAAATCACTCAAGCTGCCCCATTTGCAGGTACAAGTTTGATGTGGTAGACTTGAGTAGTTTGACGTATACAAACAGCTTTAGGTACCCTCGGCACTCGTGCAATCTAGCAGAAGAACCAAATCTCGAGCTTTTCGTTCAAAGAGAGCAAGATCGAAATAGGTTATCCAGATTCAACGTGGTAAACACGTTCCAAAACATTGCCAGGGGGGAGGAAGACGAGGTTTTGATGCAAAAAGGTAGCAAGGATAATGGGGACGAGGAGACCTTACACAAATTCAAGCACAAGATCATTGTTTCTGATGTAATTTGTAAAAGCAGGTGGAGTGATGTCAACACTTCAGACCTCATGTTTCTGAATTCTGAGATGCTCAATTTTATGTCGAGCAAACGATTTGAGCCAGTCGTGTCAAACAGTGGAAGATTCAGCAATGAACTTTCAGCCAAGATACGAGTTTCGAAGATAAAGGAGGATATGGAAAGAAAAAGATTGTACCATTCTAAGGTAATTGCAACTGCCACGTCAAGCTCTCCTTGTACTGACAACATAGATATAGTCGAAAAGAAGGCAACAAGATCATTGGATAGAAGCGAGAAGAGATCAATGTCTGAGATTACAAATATTTCAAGATTTACAGAATTCGGTGCAAGCAGCAGGATCAATCGATTATCATCTCCATTAAATATTGTAAAGGATGAAAAGACTTTTAGGCTATGGTTTCCCATTGCAAAGAGAACAATTCAATGGTTTGCTGGTAGAGAAATCAGTTCAGAGATTTCAAAACATGAATCAAATGTATGAATTCTACATACATTTGGTACACAGTATTAGATTGTATTTGATAATAAACAAAATTTTTGCTTTTTTATTTTTTTTTCTTAATCCCATATTGTCTACTTTACCATACCAAATATGCCGTCCACGTTTCTAGCTCATTGAAATTGTGATTAATTGGACTTTGTGGGTTGTAGGAACTCGATAATATGATATGTGTGGAGTATAATTTCATCCCAAAACAAGTTGACCTATTGAAAGTAGACAAATCTTCTTATAATGTTCATTTTTTTCAACAATTCTCCCCTCAAACGAAGTATCACATCATCTCAATCTCCCTTCAAGTACCAAAAGTTGCCTCCTTCCTCAATCTAGAAATGCTTATATCCTCCATCAAGACTCAACTTTTCTACTGTTCCACCTTTCTGAGCCAACAACAGATTTTTTAGGCCATCGTGATTGACTAGGATCCGTACCTTTACTCGACCGCGAGTGGGGATTCATCTTGGGCATGTGCTTTGCTAAGTATGGAGCCTAACCCTTTGATATCACAAGATCATGAAGTGTTAGTTCTCTAAAAATTCTACCGTTGAATTTAAACATCAACAAATATTTCGTGTATCGAGAGCTTTATTAGATAGTATGAATACAAAAGGAGGGGACATAACAATCAAAGAGTGTAAATGACAGAAATGTGAAAAGGACAAAAATTAAGGAAGCTCACGTGAGTAGAGTACATGTAGTTGATGGGTGTGAAAGGTCTTTCCTCTAACACAAAGTCCACAATGAAATGCTAATTTAATTATTATCTCCTGATTTAAAAGCTTGTTTTAGAGAGATACTAGGTTAATCATAACTAATTAACTAACAACTAGTATGTCCAAAATATCATATTGTACAGTTTGAACTGAATTAAAGAAGGGAGATTAGAGATATGTACAAAATTTTCAATTATTCTATTCAACTTGTATACCAGCAGTTGTTTGGTTTAGAAAAGAATAAATTTTTTAGTAGATTTTGATAAAAATTGATAAAAGTTGCGACTCTCGTAAAATATGTTGTTGAAATAAGTTTGAGAAAAAAATAAGTTTTAGTCTCCGAGATGATTTTTCCTAGATATTAGATTAATGATAGGGAAAATTGTAACTTTGCATTTTTCTCACATTAATTAAAAATGAAATATTAAATTAAAAATAATAAATAATAAAAATAAACATCATCATCTTTGATCTGTCACACAATCCCCCCCACCCCCATTCACTCCCACCCCACTCCAAACAAATCAAAACCGCCAACCATCTACGCCCATGGCCACCCGCCACCGCCCGCCACCACATCATCCAACAAAACTAGAAATCAACACCATCCCCAGCAAAACCGAAAAAACAAACAAATCAAATATCTTCAACTGTAATCGAACCGCGATTTTGATCCTAATGATTGCGAGGAGTTTGGATAGGGAGGTGGTGGTGTGATGTTCCATTGTTGAGTTTGGAGCTGAAATTCCATGTAGAGTTCCCAGTGCCAAGTTTATCCAAAGAAATCAAAATCTCAGCTTTTTCCCTTTTCTTCTTCTTTTTCATTTTCTTGATCTCGGTTTTGTTCTTTAATGTTGTTTGATTGAGTGAATTTGGATATGAAAATGGGATATGTGTTTTTTCCTTTGTGGTGTTAGGATTTTTTGAATTTACAATTTTTGGTGATTGCCGGCACTGTGGGTGGTCGCAATGTGGGTCGAGATGATACAATTGTATGGTGGTTGTAGATTGTAGGCAGAGGTGGACTTGTGTAGTGGACTAGTGGTGGTGGTGGTTCTTTCCTTAGATCTGGCTTGTCGGCTTGTTGATGGTGGTGGTGTGGTGGTTCCGCCGCCTGAACTTAGCTTGGGTCGTCGATTTTGATTTTTCATTTGGATTCCATTTGGAATTAGGGAAGATAGTAGCAACTGTGGATTTGTTGGCGACGGCGAACGACGCCCAAGATGGTGATGGGCAGCAAGGTTTAGGTTTAGGTTTTGGGTGGGAGTGGGAGTGGGAGTGGAAGATGATGATGATGATTTATTTATTTATTTAATTATTATAATAATTATTATTATTTTTATATAAAAAAAGATAAAGTTACAATTTTACCTTTTAAAAAATAACTAATAATGTGGTAAAAGTCATTTTCTTGGTCAAATAACGAAAAAGTTGATGGATTCCATTTATTTGGATTTCAAATGCATATTTTTAAAAGGTTATTGGCTTTCGCTGGCGTAAATTGAAGGATGGGGTAAAATCTACAAAAATTGAAAAGATTATGAATGCTGTTGCAATTTACCATTAAATGATATGAAATTTGTCAATTTATGATATTCAACCTTGTTAAGATTGTCAGATGTTAGGTTGAGATTTTTCGTCAAATATTCCGTCGAGTCTTGTAAATCAAACATATATGATGTTCGGTTAACTCTGCCATCATGTTAGATCAATGGTATGAAATTTGTCATTTTTTCTTTAGTCTTGTATACCGTAAGGGTTACTTCCGTTGAGAGGTTATATATAATAGTATAAAATTTGTCGGGTAATTTTTTCGAGACACTAGATTAACATAAAGAGATGTGTTCAATTTGTTAATTATCCGGTTCTTGTGTACCAAATATACTATGATTGTTAATTTTTCAATATGTTATATGAAAAATTGTATAAATTTATTAATTGTCTTGTTCAATCATGTATAGTAAGGGGTGTGTATGTCACAGATTTTTTAACCAAAAAAATTGATTTGTGTATCGTTACTTTTTAAAAAATGCAGCCATTTTTGACTATCTTAGACACGGGTGGGACCACCGTTTGAAAAAAAGGGCCATCTTTCTGCTTAAAATCTGCTGGAAATCGGTAACAGACATGCCCTACATATACTTTAAGGAGATCATTAGAGTTTCTCTCTCTCTCTCTGGACCATCTGTTCTTTCATATATGATTTTTTTTTTTTCTAGACACGTAACGTCCTATAAATTCACATGTTTTTAGAATTTAATATCAAGAATTCCATGGTTATTGCCCATTTGAAAATAAATGTAGTCTTTAATTAAATGGTGTCTATTGTCACCACTTCAGTTAGCGGTCACTGGAAAATAAATAAATAAATAAATAAAGGGATTAGTTGCAGACTTGAAAATGAAAATGAAAGAACCAAAATAGTTGGTAAAGTTCCATAAATTCTTGTTCCAATACAGCTGCACTGTAGCATTTTGCATTTTTTTAGCTTAGATATTGCAAATTGACAGCCAACACCTATTTCCAGTCTTCTTTATTAGGTCCACTTCAATTCTTTTAGCTAACTTCTTTCAGAATTTTTCCATTTATTACACATTTTTATATCAAACTTCTTAATCACATATTTGGTACTCACAACTCATCAATAAAATTAACAAGATTTTACATTCTTTTGTTTTTCTTATCGTGTTGAAGACCAAATTTATGACATATATGTGAACATCTTCAGCGGCGTAAATTTTTAGATCAAAATGTTTTAATATCGTATCAAAGTAAATTAACAAAGCTTTTAGGTTCAAATCTAGCCGCCCCGACCCCTCTAACATATTGAAAGAGATACGAGTGAAATTTTCTCTTGAAACTTGCAAGTTTATGTATCTACAACGTGAACTATTAAGAAAGTACGCGTGGTCATCTGAATAGTACAAGTCATGCATGGCTGGACCGTCTAGATCGTTCCGAGTCCAAACGGTTCAGTCCATCTTGAGAAACTTAAGTTTAATCAATGTTTGGAAAAAAAGTGATCTTAATGAGGAGGTTGAGGACCATGCCTCCTCCAGGTCCCCAGCCTTCAGCTTCAAAATCCCCATATCTAACCAATTCTGGTTAGGATTCTGAAAGTAAAACTGTCTTGGCTCTTTACTGAAATTTGTACTGCGTAAGGAACATGTCGGAAAATGAATTCATTTTGCTTCAAAAGTTGGGTCCTTTCGAAACATGAAATAGATGTTTAAATTTTAGCTTATATATAGCATGCTTTTTGTCATGCCTATAAATGAAAATTGAAAGTTGCAGCCAATCAATTTTAGGGTCGTATGTAGATTTTTTAAGAATAAATATATTTTACTTCAAATTTCTAGACACCCGTTCAAGTAGAGAAATAAGAATAATTAGACGTGAGTCTGAGCATATTTTAATATAGATTAAGAATGGACAAAAGTAGTTATTTTCCATGCATTTCCATAGGACCAAATCTTCTTGCCCACCACCCCACCCTAGACACCCACATTTTAATCACCTTTATTAATAAATGGTAGAGTCTATATATATATATATATACAACCCTAAATCTTGTTCCAGCATCCCTTTTCTCCTCACCATGGAATACTATGGCAAGAGAAACCTCTACAGCTTCATGGATGAAGAAATAAAAGCAAACCAATCATCACCACCTCGTCTTTCCTTCAAATCCCACCGTCAAATTTCTGATCATGATCATGATCATGTACCCTATAGCCCTTCAAGGTCTACTTCCACACCTAATGTCAACATGTACTCCCTAATGCCACCCCCTAGCCCGGACTCCCCATGGACACTTTCCCCTCTCCAAACACCCTCACCCTCCCTCCTCCATCACTGTATCGCCTCCCTCCGCCGCCAAGAAGGCACCATATTTTCCATCGCTGCCTCACGTGGATTAATCTTCACCGGCTCCGAGAGCTGCCTAATACGCGCTTGGCGACAACCGGATTGCACCGAGAGAGGCTATATCCGGGCAAGTTCTGGCGACGTTAGGGCGATTTTAGCCTATGGTAACATCCTCTTCACTTCACATAGGGACAACAAGGTCAGAATGTGGAACGTAAATGTGTCTGAAAATTTTCAGGCCAAAAAGGTGAATACCTTACCTAAAAGAAGAAGTTCCTTTCTTATCTTCCCCAAGACAAATACCCAAAAACACAAAGATTGTATCTCTTGCATGGCTTATTTCCATGCAGAAGGGCTTCTTTATACTGGATCATGGGATAAAACAGTGAAGGCATGGAGGGTTTCTGATAATCGTTGTGTCGACTCATTTGTTGCACATGACGAGAGTGTGAACGCAATCGTCATAAATCAGGAAGATGGTTGTGTATTCTCTTGTTCATCTGATGGTTCTGTGAAGATTTGGAGGAGAGTGTATGGTCAAAGTTCTCATACTCTCACCATGACACTAAAATTCCAGCCTTCACCTGTCAATGCCTTGGTCTTAAGCACATCATTAAACTCATGTTTCCTCTATTCGGGTTCTTCGGATGGATTAATAAACTTTTGGGAGAAGGAAAATTTGTCTAGTAGATACAATCATGGAGGGTTCTTACAAGGACATAGATTTGCAGTTCTTTGTCTGGTTGCAATTGAAAAGCTGATATTCAGTGGCTCAGAGGATACAACAATTAGGGTTTGGAGAAGAGAAGAAGGGAGCTGTTTTCATGAGTGTCTTGCAGTAATTGATGCACACAGAGGGCCTGTTAGGTGTTTGGCTGCAAGTGTAGAGACAGAAAAAATTGTTGTTATGGGATTTTTGGTTTATAGTGCTGGATTGGATCAAAGTTTTAAGGTTTGGAGGGTTAAGGTTTTGCCTGAAGAAAAAAAGGGAGGGTACATTGAGGGTGTGGAACCTATAGATACAAATATTAAGAATTCAGAATATGAAATGAGCCCTGTACTCTCTCCTTCATGGGTGGGGAAGAAACTCCAAGGCAATTACCCTGTCCACTAGCATCTGAAAAATATAATTTCACTTCTCGATCGTGTCTCCAAGTGAATATGGAGGTCAAGCGACGAACTACATGAATTCTTCTTGTTCCGTTGTCTCATTTGTATTAATATCGTCTAAATGCCAACTAGGGACTCAATTATCCACTACATTTTTCTTCTAAGTTTTCATTGCGTTATGCATAAGTGAATTTTTTTTCTTGTTTATTTGAGCCCATGAGCTCGTGTTAGGTACATGTAATGTTACCATCCTGGCTATAGACTTAGGAGCTCGTGTTAAGTACATGTAATGTTACCAACCTAGCTATAGACTTAGGCATACTAAAAGAGAGAACTAACTCTTTGGGGAAAGGAATATTTATTGGTCTATCCAAATCTGGCCAGCATCCCAGGCTCCCAGCTAACTAGTGCATATGTAGTAAAGATGATAGTAACGTTTCAATAATGAAGTGTCCTATGTTGTCCAAACTATTTCATAATAATTTATTTATATAGTAAAGATGATAGTAACATTTTCAAGAATGAACTGTCCTATGTGGTCCAAGCTATTTCATGAGTAACGTTATTCATCCTCATTGTGGTTGAACCTCAGTCTGTGACAATTACATGACATTAAATGATATATTCATTTAAATACAATATTACATGATTCATTTAATTGAGTTTATCATTTAATGTATGGCCGTCCGTGGGTCGGTTCGGTTTGGTTCTGAAAAGAACCGAACCGATCCAAAACTTTTGGGTATTTAATAAATGGAATTGTCGATTCGATTCGGGACTTTTGGACACCCCTAATTTAATGTTATGTAATTGCCACATAAATTGGTGTTCAACCCCAATGAGGATGAATAGCATTATTCTTCATAATAACTTATGATTACTTAAATAGGACAAGTTTAAAGCAACTTAACAAGATACATACATACATACATACATACACATACATACATATATATTGGTTGTACAGAACTGCATCGTGCTTTGAGCTAACCCATGCTAAAAATGAATGCATTCACCATTCACCATTAGGGGTCCTAACTGACTTCAATTGCACATTTAAGGCACAGGGAGTAGATATAGTTTTGATGGCATGAACAAGAAGGAAATATACTTTTATGATCTTGTAAATAATTGTGGGTCGTTGTAGAAATTAATGTATTAATTGACAGATTAATTTTGCTCATTATTATGCAATGGACATAACCTTATCAATTAAATTTCCGGTCGCTTTCTCTTTCCGTAAATCTGGCGGGCATAATAATGATACACTCAACTAAAGAGTACCGTGTACAACTTGAACACGGTTTACTAATGCTCATAATGAGTAGTTTAGTTGTTAACTAGGCCATGATTTCTTGTGTAGTTCGAGTTTTAATTGGAGTTAGTTTATAAATACACCCTTAATCTACCATACCAAATATGTCATACTTAAATATGAGATGCTCTATTTGAAATACAGAAGAAAGTGTGGCTCGTGAAATGAACAAGATCTGTAAATTTTCTTCTATTGACAAAGTGACCCACATGATGAAAGCCGAAGCTCATTTGAATGTGTAAAATGCGCTTTTGCACTAGATGAAGAGAGTCGTTTTTCAGTCCCTAACGCAATCCCAGCTGTTGATCATAAGGTGGAGCCTCGCCAGTTATTGTTCAAATGTTTTTTTGCGCAGCTTTCTCTGGTTCTATATGTGCTCTACTCATTCTCTCGAAAATTACATCTTAGAAAACGATTTTTCTCTGATTTGGTTTCCAGATTAGTGTTGTTATAACAGTAATCTTTTAGTGGTTTAGTGTAAAATTTGGAGGTTAGAGTTGTGATTCTTCGCGTAAGGTTTCTCTGCGTGTAAGCAAGTAGTGGTCGAACCTTCCTGTCCCTACAAGGGGCGAACATATGTGGCGCTCTATTTTACATGTCTTGCAATATTTTCCACATGTGCTTGTGTGTGACAAGGGTGAATCTTCGAATTTGAGAGAGAGCCTAAACCTTTTAGTGAAGCAATTCAAAATGAGCAAGCTAACTTTTGGTACTATGAATGAAGAAATTACATCGTTGTACAAGAATGTAACATGGGAGTTAGTACTAAACATGGAAATAAATTTATAGTTGACTGTAGATGAATTTATAAGGTTAAAGAAAGTGGAACAAAAAGAGAACAATTAAGGTTTAAAAGTCAGACTTGTAGCTAATTAAAGGCTTTACACAGTAAGAAGGCATTAGTTATAATGAAATCTTGTCTAAAATACACACTACAATAATAATTACATATACTTTAGTAGCTCATTTTACTGGAAAATGGAACAACTTGATGTTAAATCTATTTTTTCACATTTTGAGTTGGAAGAAAAAGTTTACATGAATCAGCCTATTTGTTTTTGTTTATAAGAAAAAGTCTGACCATGTGTGCTTTTCTAAAAATCTCTCTACGTACTAAAGCAACCTCCTAGGCGTCGGAGTAAAATATTTGAGTGTTCATAAATATTTGATTTACGTGATCTTTAAGTATTCATAAATCATTAATGCATGCTTGTATGTTCGCATTAAACTTATATTATAAAATTTTGATTTTGCCCCCACGGG